AAAGTAAAAGTGTGCGTGTACAGAAACTGAAAGTGTATGTGTGTAGAAATGAATGTTTATGTGTGTGTAGAAGGTGAATGTATGTGTAGATAGTGAATGTGTGTGTGTAGAAAGTCTATGAGTGGATGTATAATGAGGATGTATAATGTAAAATGTGTGTGTGGAAAGTGAAAGTGTGTAGAAAGTGAAAGGGTGTCTGTAGAAAGGGAAAGTATGTGAGTGTGGGAAGTGAAAGTTGGTGTGTAGAAAGTGATTATGTTTGTATAGAAAATGAATATGTGTGTAAAAAGTGAATATGTGTGTTGGAAGTAAAGATGTGTAAGTGTAAAATGTAAACATGTGAGTTTAGAAAGTGCATGTGTGTGTTGGAAGTAAAAATGTGTAGAAAGTGAAAGTGTATTTGTATAGAAAGTGAAAGTGTATTTGTATAGAAAGTGAAAGCGTATTTGTATAGAAAGTGAAAGTGTGGGAAAAGTGACTTGTGTTTGTGTAGAATGTGAACATATGTGTAAGAAGTGAAAAAGTGTGTGTAGAAAATGCCTGTATGTGCAGAAGTTGAATGTATGTGTGTGTAGAAAGTGAAAGCTTAGGAGTGTTAAATGTGAAAGTGTGTGTAGAAAGTGAATTGTAGAAAGCAAAACTGCATGTGTGAAAAGTGAATATTATCTGCGTGTGGGAAGTGAATGTCTGTGTGTTATGTGAATGTGTGTGAATTTAAAACGTGAATAAATGTGTAGAAAGTGAAAGTGACCATGCAGAAACTGAAAGTGTGTTTGTGTAGAAAGTGAAAGTATGTGGAGACTGAAAATATTAGTGTATAGGGTGAAAGTGTGTATAAAAAGCAAAGATGTGTGTGTATAGAAAATGAATGTGTGTGTGTTTAGAAACTGAATGTGTACATGCATAAATTAATGTGTATGTGTGTGTAGCAGAGGAATGTGTGTGTAGTCAATGTGAGTACGTAGAAAGTGAAAGTGTATGTTGTGTCTTGAAAGTGAATGTGTGTACATAATGAACGTGTGTGTGTAAAATATCTGTGTGTGTGTTTAGAAGGTTTATGTCTGTGCTGGTGTGGAATGAGACTGTTTGTCAGTGTATTAGTGTGAAATGTATGTGTAGAAAGTGAATGAGCCTGTAGAAAGTGAAAGTGTGTCTGTAGAAATTAAAGATGTGTGGAAAGTGAAAGTGTGTGAATGTGGACAATTAAAGTGTGTGTGTAGAAAGTGAGGGTGTGTGTGCATACAAAGTGATTGAAAGAGACACGTGCACCCCAATGTTCATCACAGCACTGTTTACAATAGCCAGGGCATGGAAGCAACCTAGATATCCATCAGCAGATGAATGGATAAGAAACCAGTGGTACATATACACAATGGAATATTACTCAGCTATTAAAAAGAATGCATTTGAATCAGTTCTAATGAGGTGGATGAAACTGGAGCCCATTATACAGAGTGAAGTAAGCCAGAAAGAAAAGCACCAATACAGTTTATTAATGCATATATGTGGAATTTAGAAAGATGGTCATGATAACCCTATATGCAAGACAGCAAAAGAGACACAGATGTATAGAACAGTCTTTTGGACTCTGGGAGAAGGCGAGGGTGGGATGATCTGAGAGAATAGCACTGAAACATATATATTTTCACATGTGAAACAGATCGCCAGTCCAGCTTTGATGTATGAGACAGGATGCTCGGGGCTGGTGCACTGGGATGATCCTGAGGGATGGGAAGGGGAGGGAGAAGGGAGGGGGGCTCAGGATGGGGAACACGTGTACACCCATGGAGGATTCATGTCAATGTATGGCAAAAACTACTACAACATTGTAAAGTAATTAGCCTCCAATTAAAGCAAATAAATTAATTAAAGAAAAAAGAAAGTGAATGTGTATAGAAAGAGAATATGTGTCTGTATAGGAAGTGAATGTGTGTAAAAAATGAACATGTGTGGGTTTAGAATGTGCATGTATGGGCAGAAAGTGAAAACGTGTAGAAAGTGAAAGTATGTGTAGAAAGCGAGTGTATTCATGTGGAAAGTGTGTGTGTGGAAAATGAGTTGTGTTTGTATATAAAGTGAATGTGTGTTGAAAGTGAGTGTGTGCATGTGTAGAAAGTGAGTATGTGTGTTTATAGAAGGTGAATGTGTGCCTGAAGAAAATGAATGTGTATATGTAGATAGTAAATGTGTGTGTAAAAGTTAATGTGTGTATAGAAAGTATGTGTTTGTCACTAGAAAGTGTATTGCATGTGTGTGTAGAAACTGTGTGTTTGTAAAATGTGAATGTTTGTGGGTGGAAATTTAATGTGTGTCTTTAGAAAGTGAAACTGCATTACTGTAGAAAGTGAAAGTGTGTGTAGAAAGTGAGTATGTGTGTAGAAAGTGAATGTGTGTGTGTAGCAATGAATGTGTATATATGGGTAGAAAGTGAATGTAAGTGTGTAGAAAGTGAAAGTGTTTTAGGAAGTGAATGTGTGTGGAAAGTGAAAGTATGTGTCTGTGTAGAAAGTGAATGTATGTGTATGTAGTGTGTGATCGTGTGTGTATATAGAGTGAAGGTATGTGTAAAAAGTGAATGTGTGTACAGAAAGTTGATGTGTTTGTAGAAAATTAGTGTGTTTGTGTAGAAAGTGAGAGTGTAGAAATTGAAGGTGTGTAGGAAGTGAAAGTGTGTGATTGTGGAAAGTGAGAATGTGTTTGTACAAAGTGTGTGTGTTTGGGTAGGAAGTGGATGTGTGTGTAAAAAGTGAGTATGTGTGAGTTTAGAATGTGAGTGCATGTGTAAAAAGTGAATGTGTGTGTAGAAAGTGAAAATTTGTGCAGAGTTGTGTATGTAGAAAGTGACTGTGTGTTTACAAAGTGAAAGTGTGTAGAAAGTAAATGTGTGTGTGCATAGAAAGTGAATGTGTGTGTAGAAAGTGAGTGTGTGTTTGTGTAGAAAGTGAATGTTGTTTAGAAAATGAAAGAGTATGTAGAAAGTGAGTGTGTGTAGAAAGTGAATGCATATGTAGAAAGTGTGTGTCTGTGTAGAAAGTGAATGTGGGTGTGTGTAGAATGTGTGTGTGTGTAGAAAATGAATGTATGCATGTATGTGTGCAGAAAGTGAATCTATGTGTGTGTAGAATGTGAATGTGTGTGTGCACACACTGGCAGAGAGAGAGGCCCCAAGTGGGTGATGGGTCTCGGGGCACACACTGGCCATCAGCTCTTGGTGTATTTGCCGCTCATGCAGGGGTGTGAAATGTGTGCATTTGCTGCCATACTTTGCAGTAAGTCATGACAGTTATATCCCGTTGCTAAGATGAGAGGCATAGGTTAGTTTGAACATTTTAGTTAGAATGACTAATTTTTTTAAGAAAAAAAATCTTGGGAATAATGATGCTATATTTTTTTCACTTCTTTTTCTTTTCATTGTTTCACTTATTTTTCCCTTGGAACACTTCACTGTGCTAGTCCTTTCCGCTGCCTGTTAACCAGAGAGGTAAAGAGCACAGACTTAAAAGGTGCAAAGTTTGTTCATCCTGCCAATTCTGAAACCAGATGCAAGTTCAAGGGGTTCCTGTAGTGACCCTCAGGTTTGGTGATTCAGCAGGTCTCACTGAAAGTGTGCTCCCTGCTTGTGTTTCTGTGCCTGTTGGAGCACATCACCATGTGCTTTAAGGAAACCACATCACTTATTTATCTAAGAAACTCACTCCTTAGTGGCAATTCGTGTATTTGACTGAATAAGGGAGGGTATATCCGTAAGATACATCACTCAAACTTTGGTGAAGTATATATGATCATCAGAAACATCCCAAATATCATTTTAGGAGAGTAGATAATCTGAATACTGGTAATAACTTTAGGAGTTTTCATTAATACCTCAAGTCATAATTGCAATGTTTTGAATCTTCCTGAGAGAGTTATACCAAGAGCAAGTCTTTTTTAATGATTTTATTTATTGATTTATTTTTGGCTATCCTGGGCGTTCATTGCTACTCAGGCTTTCTCTAGCTGTGGTGAGCAAGGGCTGCACTCTAGTTGCAGTGTGCAGGCTTCTCATTGTGTAGCTTCTGTTATTGCAGAGCACAGGCTGTAGAACATTCAGGCTTCAATTGTTGTGGCTCCTGGGCTCTAGAGCTTGGGCTCAGTGGTTGTGGCCACAGGCTTGGCTGTCCGCAGCATGTAGAATCTTCCCAGATCAGGGTTTGAACCCACGTCTCCTGCATTGGCAGGTAGATTCTTTACCACTGAATCACCAGGAAAGTCCACAAGTCTATTTTTTTTAATCCCTTTGAATTCTTAAACATTGCAATGATATTCTCTTCCCTTACTCCCTTTTCCCTCATCCTTTAAAGTGTATTATTCTAAAAATAAAGAGGAATGTTAAAGACAGAGAAAAGAAACTCTTGAAATGATGTGATCATCATTACTTGACTTTATATAGCACTTTATGTTTTAACATCTTTTAGCATAGGCTAATTTTATAGCCATCTTGAAAGCGGCTGACTTAAGTGCAAATTTGAAAAAATGAAGTATGGATTCGTGGAACGCAATTTTAGAAAATCAACCTCAGTGCAGCTTTAATTTGCCTGATATGTGTATGAGCTTGGGTGAATGTATGCAAATATATGAAAGTTGAAGTATGATTGCCAAAATCTACTGGCATATCAAATATGAGAAGGAGGAAAGAGACGGAGACAGAAAACAGACTTAGACTTTGTTTAGTACAATTGATGGTTTTCAAACGAAGAGAAATTCAGGGAGGTCAGCAAGTTATTTAAGATTTCACTCCCTAGCTACTACCTGGTTATTAATGTAACAGCATACACCCACCTACAGAAAAAGCAAATATTTGAAAATGTATTTGTCTTCACATGAGTGGGTTACTGGATTCACTTCCATAATTTTCCAGGTCTGATCATGTCTAGGAATATTTTGTATGTATTATGGCACAGATACTGACTGTTTTTTCCATAACCCAGGAAGGTCCCCATGATGGTTTCCTTTGTGTCCAGGTGTGACTCTGGAGTCCGACTCCTGCCTTGATCCTGGGATCCCCGTGAATGGGCATCGGCACGGCAGTCACTTTGGCATCCGGTCCACAGTGACCTTCAGCTGTGACCCAGGCTACACGCTGAGTGATGACGAGCCCCTGGTCTGTGAGCAGAACCACCAGTGGAACCACGCATTGCCCAGCTGTGACGGTAGGTGGGGCGCAAAGGAGCCAGGAAGACGTGCACAGATTTTATTTAAACAGTTTGGGTGGTGAGCACTTTAGGGGGTGATTCAGGATGTGACTGAAATGGGACTTCTGTTTGGAAGCTCTTAGACCTTAAAAACATGGCTGTTTAGTGCTTGAAGTTTACCTAGAATCTTCTCTATGAGGTAGAGCTCCTATTTATAGAAAGAATTTTCCCACAGCAAGCACATTGTATAAGATCAAGCCCACAGATCAGTAGATGAGTGTGACCAGAGACCCAGGAGTCCTGCCTCATCCCAGTCACTGCCCGCACAAAGGCTACAGTTCCCTTGACCCTGAAGATTCTATGCAGAGGAAGTTCTATGCTGGATGTTTCTTTGCTATTTCCAGCTTCTTTCACTGTGATATCCAGGGCATGGCACTTAACTGCACCTCCTTCATTCTTGTCATCTGTTTCCCTGGATAATGCACCACTGTTGTTTATTCCAAGATACTTTGTACGAGCATTTGATTTATTTTGAGCTCCTTTTCCTGCTTGTTTTGGCTAAGAGTGCACCCTCCTCCATCAATAATGTGTTTCCTTCCTCCTATTTATATTGGGTCACATACCTTTTTCTTATAGAATAATAAACCTTGCTTATGTATTTGGATCCCTCTCTTTTGTTGAATCCATGTATTGTGAATGCTTTGTCTCACTCTGTCTCTGTCCTCCTCTTCTTGGTCTTTTTTTGAAGAATAGCATGTTTTCATTTGAAAATAATCTACTTGTTCAATGCAGTCATTTGTGATTGGTGCTTTACAGATAGTGTTTAAGAAGGCTTACTACCCTCAAGTCATAAGGATATTCTGTTGTTTTCTTCTGAAAACCTTTAAAAATTTTGACAGCTTTATTGAGGTATAATTAAAATACTATAAACTGCCTGTTTAATGTGAAAATTTTACTATGTTCTGAGATACCTATACATATATGAAACCATGACCATGATTAAGGATGTGTTCATCACCCTGAAAGCAAATGCTAGTTTTTTTTTTAATGTCAAATATATACTTTAAGCCCATCTAATATTTTTGTAAGATGTGATATGGTGTCTAGATCCATTTATTGATAAGATTGCACTGTCTCTTCTCTGATGTGCGGTCTGTTCTGTCACACAGGTGGCTGTATGTGCATGAGTCATTGGCTTTGTCCTTTTGTTTATCCATTTGCTGTTCATTCACTGAGTCACGTCCATCTCTTTGAGACCCCAAGGACTGTGGCATGCCAGGCTTCCCTGTCCTTCACTACATCTCAGAATTTGCTCAACTTATGTTCATTGAATCAGTGATGCCATCCAACCATCTTGTCCTCTGTTGCCCCCTTCTCCTCTTGCCTTCAGTCTCTCCCAGCATCAGGGTCTTTTCCAATATGTTGGCTCTTTGCATCAGATCACCGAAGTATTGGAGCTTCGGCTTCAGCATCGGTCCTTTCAATAAATATTCAGGGTTGATTTAATTTAGGATTGACTGGTTTGATCTCCTGACTGTCCAAGGAACTCTCAAGAGTCTCCTCCAGCACCAAAATTCAAAAGCATTAATTCTTTAGCACTGAGCCTTCTTTATGGGCCAACTCTCACATTCATACATGACTACTGGGAAAACAGTAGCTTTCACTATAAGGAACTTTGTAGGCAAATTGATGACTCTGTTTTATAATACACAATCTAGGTTTGTCATAGCTTTTCTTCCAAGGAACTCTAACTTCCTGGCTGCGGTCACCATCTTCAGTGATTTTGTAGCCGAAGAAAATAAAATTTGCCTTTTTTCCACTTTTCCCCCATTTATTTGTCATGAAGTGATGGGACCAGATGCCATGATCTTAGTTTTATGAATGTTGATGTTTAGGCCAGCTTTTTCACTCTTCTCTTTCACCTTCATCAAGAGGCTCTTTAGTTCCTCTTCACTTTCTGCTGTTAGGGTGCTATCATCTGCATGTCTAAGATGGTTGGTATTTCTCCTGGCAATCTTGATTTAAGCTTGTGATTCATCCAGCCCAGCATTTTGCATGGTGAACTTTGCATATAGGTTACATAAGCAGGGTAACAATATACAGCCTTGAAGTACTTCTTTCCCAATCTTGAAAGTCTTTTGTTCCGTGTCTAACTGTTGCTTATCTTTTTAATTTATTTATTTTTAATTGAAGGGTAATTGCTTTACAGAATTTTGTTGTTTTCTGTCAAACATCAGTAAGAATCAGCCATAGGAATATCCATGTACCCTCTCTCCCAAAACTCCCTCCCACCTCCTTCCCCACCCCACCCTTCTAGATCTTTACAGAGGCCCTATTTGTGTTCCCTGAGTCACACAACAAAGTCCCACAGGCTGTCTGTTTTACACATGGTAAAGTAAGTGTCCATGTCACTCTCTCCACACATCTCACCCTCTCCCTCCTCCCTTCCCCCCGTTTCCATAGGTCTTTTCTCTGTCTTCCTTTCCATTGTTGTCCTGCAAATAAATTCATCAGTGCCATCTTTCTAGATTCCATATATATGCATCAGTATACGATATTTCTATTTCTCTCTCTGACTTACTTCACTCTGTATAATAGACTCTAGTTTCATCTACCTCATTAGAACTGACTCAAATGTGTTCCTTTTAATGGCTGAGTAATATTCCATTGTATATATGTACCACAACTTTTTTGAGCACTCTCCATACACTCTTCCATTGTAGTTGTATCAGTTACATTCCCACAAGCAATGCAAGAGGATTCCCTTTTCTCCACACCCTCTCCAGCATTTATTGTTGTAGACTTTTTGATCATGACTGTTCTGACTGGTGTGAGGTAGTATCTTAGTGTAGTTTTGATTTGCAATACTCTAATAACGAGCGATGTTGAGCATTTTTCATGTGTTTGTTAGCCATCTGTATGGCTTCTTTGGAGAAATGTCTGTTTAGGACTTTTTCCCACTTTTTGATTGGGTTGTTTGTTTTTCTGGTATTGAGTTGTATGAGCTGCTTGTTTATTTTGGAAATTGATTCTTATCAGTTGTTTCCTTTGCTATTATTTTCTCCCATTCTGAGGGTTGTCTTTTCACCTTGTTTGTAGTTTCCTTTGCTGTGCAAAAGCTTTTAAGTTTAATTAGATCCTACTTGTTTATTTTTGCTTTTATTTCCATTACTACAGGAGGTGAATCATACAGGATCTAGCTTTGATTTATGTCATCAAGTGTCCTGCCTATGTTTTCCTCTAAGAGTTTTATAGTTTCTGGTCTTATATTTAGGTCTTCAATCCGCTTTGAGTTTATCTTTGTGTATGGTGTTAGGAAATGTTCTAATTTCATTATTTTACACATAGCTGTGTAGTTTTACCAGCATCACTTATTGAAGAACATAGAGGTTTCTCAGAGGACAGATAAGTTGGTTTGGGATTCCCATCTTTTTAAGAATTTTCCACAGTTTGTTGTGATCCACACAGTCAAAGGCTTTAAGCACAGTCAGTGAAGCAGTTTATCCATTAAGAAATTTTACTTTTTAATTCTTAGAAAACTTTCTAAAGAAATCTGGAGACAATAAATGAACAACATTGACATTTCACTATATACAAATTAAAAGTTCCATTATTTTTATTTTTATTTTTTAAATTAATTAATTTATTTTAATTGGAGGCTAATTGCTTTATAATATTGTAGTGCTTTTTTTCCCATACACTGACGTGAATTAGCCATGGGTGTTCATGTGCCCCTGTCCTGAACCCCCTCCCCCGTCTCTCCCCACCCCACCCCTCAGGGTTGTCCCAGTGCACCGACTTAGGGTGCCCTGTTTCATGCATCAAAAAGTTCCATTAAAAATTTTAAAAGGTAAAAGAAAATGGTCAGATTAGAGAAAATGACTGCACTGTCTGTGTAATACAATTTTAAATGAGTTTGTCCAATAAACAAATGAAGGAAAATTAAACAACACAAATAAACCAATAAATCTATGAGGGAAACAAACACACTGATGACTTTCAGAAGTGAGCAAAGGCCAATAAACAGTGTAAAACAGGCCCATTTTGACCAGGAATCAGGAAAATGCAAGTAAAACACAGTAATATACCTCCCTTGTTGGATTTGCAAAAAGAAGTGCAAAGTTCATATTATTTGGATTCATTGTGGGATTATTAATCTGCATGTGTATTCTGCATTGTTACTGGGAAATGTAAATAATATAGTTTCTTGGGAGAAAAAAAAGCAACTCGTAGTGAAATGTGTATCACATGTGTGAGCACATACACGTAGGTAACTACAGACACCTTCACAGTGTATGCACAGGAAATGACTGGAAATAGACAACCTAAAATTATAGCTTCAATATATATTTATAACCTACAATTATATATGTATATATAATATAATATAAATATATACATAATTATATATGTTTAAAATCTAAAATTATAACTGCAAGGAAAATTTCTTCCCTTTTTGGGATGTTAGTAAGCTATCAGGGAGGGTGAAGAGAGACTTTTTTAGCTCTTCATTTTATGGTGTTATTTGAGTTTTTATTGCCATGTTTTATTTTTGTATTAGAAGTCTAATAATAAAAAAAATAAATAAAATTCATGTTTACGACTACTAGTGTCAGAAGGATACTAGCTACTGTACTAATTAAAAATTTATAAAACTTGAGTATGGCCTAAATACTATACCAAAATGTTCACTCCTTATTTGGAGTCTTTACTAGCAACAGTTTTTCTAAGAATACTAAGTATAAGGGCCTAACCCTTAAAAGACTTCCATGTTATTCACACATAACTGAATATCAATCAATATATTTTATTATATCACTTAATCCAAAATTTGTAAGTTAATCATATGAATAATTTTATTGAAATGTTTACATGATATACAAATTCATGGCTCTGTTGAATGTCATTGTGCAGCTTTAATGATTTTATGGGCTAGAGCTAAAAATGGAATTTAGAAATGAAACTTATACAATTTGCTCTCTTTTGTGCACTTGCTTTTGAGGTAGGTCGGTTGAGCA